CGGTGACGGTACCTATCAGGCGAAGATTGACATGGAGTTCGTGGTTGTCAACCTGGACAGCGCCCACAACATGATCTGGGGCCGACCGGCCTTGGAGGACCTTGAGGCCATCATCTCCATGAAACATCTATGCCTCAAGTTCCCCACCAAGGACGGCGTCGGCTACGCCAGAGGAAACCAGAAGATAGCCCGAGCTTGCTACCTGAAGCTCACAAGAAAGATCAATGAGGCCGAGGAGCGGATAGACACTATCACCACCGCCTCGGCCGAAGAAGACACACCAAAGGCCGAACCGGTCGGAGACGTGGAAGAGGTTCCGTTGGACATCTCCCGGCCGGAACGCATGCTAAAGATCGGGACACAGCTCCCCCAACAGATCCGAAGGGACATCCTCTCTGTCCTGAGAGCGTACGCCATCGTCTTCGCATGGGGACCAGAGGATATGCCGGGCATCAGCCCAAAAGTGATCACGCATCGGCTCTCGGTGAACCCGGCCTCCTCCCCCATCAAACAAAAGAAACGCTACCTCTCGGCTGACAGGAGGGAATTCGTCAAGGCCGAAGTGGCCATGCTGCTCTCCATTAAGCACATAAAAGAGGTGAAGTACCCCACGTGGTTGGCGAACGTCGTCCTCGCACCAAAGCCGCCCACGTTCAGAATGTGTGTTGATTACACTGACCTGAACAAGGCGTGCCCGATGGACCCATTCCCTCTCCCCAACATTGATCAGTTGGTGGATGAGACGGCGGGGTGCGAGTTGATGTCGTTCCTCGACGCGTTCAGAGGGTACCACCAGATATCCATGCACGAAGATGACGCGGAGAAGACTGCTTTTATGACCCCGGAGGGAATCTTTTGCTACCTCGTCATGGCCTTTGGGCTCAAGAACTCCGGCGCCACCTACACAAGGATGGTAGCCCGGATTTTTAGAGCAGTCTTAGGTCGGACGATGGAAGCATACGTCGACGATATGATCGTCAAGAGCAAACAATCCACAACCCATGCTGACGACCTCCGGGACATCTTTGAGATCATGAAAAGGTACAACCTCCGGCTCAACCCGAAGAAGTGCACCTTCGGCGTCCAGGGAGGTAAATTCTTGGGGTACCTGGTCAGCCGAAGGGGCATCGAGGTGAACCCGGAGAAAATACAAGCCATCATCAATATGGAGCCGCCCCGCAACATAAAGGAGGTGCAACGGCTGACGGGACGCCTCGCGGCCCTGAACCGTTTCCTCTCAAAATCCGCTGAGAAGTCTCTCCCCTTTTTCCAAGTGATGAGGAAGGCCACCAGCTTCAAATGGACGACGGAGTGCCAGCAAGCCTTTGAAGAGCTGAAACAATATCTCGCCTCCCCACCCGTCCTATCCAAACCCCAACCCGGCGAGATTCTATTCCTTTACTTAGGAGTGAGCACGTCGGCCATCAGCTCCGTACTCATCAGGGAGGATGACGGGGTACAAAAAGCAATATTTTACGTCAGCAAGACGTTGCGGGAGGCTGAGCTCAGGTACTCCCCCATTGAGAAGACGGTGCTGGCCATCGTCCACACGGTGAAAAAACTTGGGCACTACTTCCAGGCTCACCCCGTCCACGTCCTCACCCATCAGCCGTTGGGCGCCCTCATGAGGAGCCCAACCAGCTCTCCAAGGATGATCAAATGGGCAATATTCCTAAGCCAGTACCAGATAGAGATCAAGCCGAGGCCATCCATCAAAGGACAAGCCTTAGCTGACTTCGTCACCGAATGCACGGCAAGGGAGACGGCCGTTACCACCACAGGAGCTGAACCGGACGAAGCCTGGACCCTCTACACGGACGGGTCCTCGGCCACCAAAGCTTGTGGGGGTGGCGTCGTCCTCATCTCCCCGGAAGGGTTCAGAGCATACTATGCCATCCGCTTCAACTTCAAAGTATCCAACAATGAGGCCGAGTATGAAGCGCTCCTCAGCGGTCTCAGACTAGCCGCTGGCCTCAAAGCACGCAACGTCAAAATCAAATGCGACTCCAAACTCGTAGTGAGCCAGATGGAGGGTTCCTACGAGGCTAAAGAAGGAAGAATGAAGCAATACAAGGAGGCCGCTGCGGAATTGCTCAAGGCGTTCGATACCTACGAGATCACTCAGATCCCAAGGGCAGAGAACGCCGAGGCTGACATACTCTCCAAGCTCAGCTCCGACACGCCTGAGCACATCTCCAAGATAGCTAAGGTGGAGGAGTTGAGCATGTCAAGCATTCATGCCAGCCCTATACTCTCCATCCAACACCAGCCGGAGGACTGGATCACTGACATCGCAACATACATCACCTCCGGAACGCTACCAGAGGACGAGGAGAGGGCCAAACTAGCCAAGCTCAGGGCCCCAAGCTATGTCATTGAGGGTGACAAGCTCTACAAGAGATCATACAATGGCACCCTCCTCCGGTGCCTACACCAGAATGAGGCCGAAGTGGCCATGGAAGAAGTCCACTGCGGCGTATGCTCATCACATCAGGGGCCCTTCAGCATGTCGCGCCGCCTCGTCGTCCAGGGCTACTTCTGGCCGACGATGGCGCGTGATTGTGCTGAAGTTGCCCGCAAATGCAGCGCATGTCAACACTATCAAAGGGCACCTGGCCGACCAGCTGTCAACTACGCCCCGGTCAGCACCGCCATTCCATTTTCCAGATGGGGCATCGACCTCGTCGGCCCCCTTCCAAGAGCTGCGGGCAACAACAGATACATCATCGTCGCCATCGACTACTTCACCAAATGGGTCGAGGCCGAACCACTCGCAAGCATCACTGGAGCGCGGTGTCGAAAGTTCGTCTACAAGAACATCCTCACCCGCTTCGGCGTGCCTCAGGAGATCATATCAGACAACGGCACCCAGTTTGAGGCCGAACCATTCCAAAGCCTCCTCCAAGAATGGGGTATCAAGCACCGTTTCTCCTCCGTTGCCTACCCTCAGGCCAACGGGCAAGTTGAGAACGCCAACAGAACCATCTTGGAGGGGCTGAAGAAGAAACTCGAAGAAGAAGGCGGAAGTTGGGCCGACGAGCTCCCCAACGTCCTATGGTCCTACCGCACTACGCCGAGGAGGGCCACCGGGGAGACACCATTCTCCTTGTGCTACGGCTTCGAAGCCAAGGCTCCCACAGAAGTCACCCTCCCCAGCCGACGGGTCACACAATACGACCCCGAAGCCAATGAAGAAGCCATGAAGATTGACTTGCACCTCATTGATGAAAGGCGGGAGATGGCTTACCTTCGGGCAGAGAACTACAGACGACAAGTCAAATCCTACTACGACGCCAAAGTCCGCTCTCGCGAATTCCAGGTAGGGGACTACGTCCTCCGCCGAAGGGAAGCAAGCAAGCCGACGGAAGGAGGAAAGCTCGCCGTCAAATATGAAGGGCCCTACATCATCAGCGCCGTCATCAAAGCCGGCACTTATAGACTAAAGAACCCTAATGGGTCAGATGTACCACGATTGTGGAATGTACACCACCTGGTGAAATTTTACCAATGACTCGAGAAGTGGTGAAGCGGGCAACGTCCCCCATCCCTCGGCTTAGTGGTTGAATAAAACACCCTCGGCCTAGCGCCACTTATTGAATAAAATTCATGTTTTCATCCAATCTTTTAAGATTTGAACAAAGGGAAACCTAAGGACCGCATCGGCCTAAGCGGTGCAAACACCCGGGTTCGATGCGACCCAAAGCCGTCGCAATAAACGACGCACCTAAAGCCGTTGCAATAAACAACGCACCAAAAGCCGTCGCAATAAACGACGCACACAAAGCCGTTGCAATAAACAACGCACCAAAAGCCGTCGCCATAAACGACGCACACAAAGCCGTTGCAATAAACAACGCACCAAAAGCCGTCGCAATAAACGACGCACCTACAAAGCCGTTGCGTAGCCAACGCACCTAAATATCGTATCGGCACAAGCGGTGAAACACCCAAATCGGCCGGCGATATGCAGGACGAAGGACCTGTGTGTATGGCCCGACGTCTTCAAAACGGAGAAGCATACCGCGTCGTCCGCGCGGAAACCGCAGGACGACAGGCCTGAATTAAGGCTGAGGTTGCAAAAACTCCACCCGTCAGTAAAATTTCACTCAGGACCACAAAGGGCGGCCGTCAAAAGACGATGCCTAGTCCGGTCCCTCGTCGCCGATAGACGTGGAAAGGCAAAAAATGTCACTGACAAGCCGAGGGCGTATTTACTCCCTCGCACTAATCCACGCGAAAAGCGTAGCGGGCAAAGTACCGCACATGGCCGAAGGGACAGTAACCCTTCGGCCACCCAAAAAAAAAAAAAAAAAAAAAAAAAAAAAAAAAAAAAAAACAAAGAGGGAAGCCGACGGACCGCGCACTCGCCGGCCTCGAGCAAAAAATAAAATCCCCACAAAAACCAAGCCTCAAATTTGGCCAAGTACATATCAGGTTTTCACTATACAGGGATCCGAAGTGCACGCTTCGGCCCCAACCATAGCTTCACAAAAGGGAATCGCTTCGGCCTAGGTTATACAAAACCACAGTCCATTACTCGGACGATGGGACGCACCGTCTCCAATTAGCAAAACCCAAGTGACGAACAAAAGCGAAACAACTACAGCTAGGCAAGCTTGACACTTAGCAAATTATCTAAGCCACATCACCACAATGACGATGCGCTACCGCTGCGTATCGCTTCGTCCCCGACACTTCTGGAATCGAAATCCAAGAACATGACTCCGAATTCATCAAGGGACAACGAGGCGCATCGTCCTCAAAGAAGGGGGGTCGCTACGTCTCAATTAAAAAAGGATGCCGAAACGGAATTATGATACTTGGAAAAATTTCCAACCAAAGCGGCGCGTTACTAGACGCATCGTACCTACGACAAAGGATTACATACCCAAGACGTTGTGCCACCCGCATCGTCTTCATGAGGCAACCGGATAATGCGAAAGGCAACTCTAACACTTGGCAAAAATCACGAGACTTAAACACACATAAAGTTATGGCGATGAAAGACGAAGCAATAAACCCATTCCAAGGCAAAAAGTTCATTAATTTTGGATAACAAGATACAAGAGGTGGGCGCTTCGGCCGTTACACGCACTTCAATGATAAAATTACAAAAGTAATAAAAAAGCCTACAAAACTACACCGCCTCATCGGCTTGCTCTTTGCTCTGGCCGACGTCCTCCCCGCCACCACTACTGGTTTCAGCATCATCATCTTCATCGGCCTTGGAATCGGCTGAACCCTCAAGCAGATAATCATCACTTTCGCTCCAGGACGCTTCCCCCTCGTCCGAGCTAAGGATTGGAGGTTGCCTCTCCGACGGGGGGAGCTTCATGTCCTCATCAGGGTTTCTCATCCGCCGGGGTAGACTCAAGCCCCTCGGCCTCATCTTCCGGAAGCGACGACGAAGCTTCCTGTAAATCAGCCTCTGCATCCTATATTGGCCGCAGTTGTAGAAAGCTCGCGTCTCGTTCATCCAGAAGTCCTCGCCGGCGGGGTCCTTTGTCACCCAATCAGTGAGCCTCTCGGCCACCACTTCGTAGCAGAAGGGGACTTGGTCTTCGGCCTTCCAGCCATCGGCCTTGAAAACAGCAACGGCCTCTTCAGCGGCCTTCTCAGCGTCAGCCTTGAGCCGCTCCGCTTCCTCGGCCCTTTGGACGGCAGCAGCAACAGCCTCATCGGCTTTCTTCTGGGCCGCCTCGGCCTCATCAAGACGCATCTGAAGGAGCTTCATTTCCTCCTCCGCGGCCTTGGCCTTGTCCCGCAGGTCTTGAAGGGCCTCATCGGCTGAAGCAGCCTTGACCTCCATCTTCTTCAGCCGCTCTATCTCGGCTTCCTGCCTCCAATGCTGCTCCCTCAGCATAAGGGCACCCTGGAAGAAGCGAAAACTCAAAATCAAAAAATGAAAAACAGAAAATCAAAGGAGAAATCACAAGGAAAAGAAGTTACCTGGACGACATAGTCCAAACCCCCATCGTACAAATGGACATGCTTGCCTTGCCGGCTGAGGTACTGCCGGTCATACTCAGGCATAGCCTGAGCAAGCACATCGTCGCCACTGACGGTCTCGTTAAAAAGACCGCCCTTCACAGGATAACGCACCGTCACCTCGTACGTCCCCTTGGCAAGGGCCTCCTCTAGACGGGCAGCAGCAGCCGTAGAGGGGAGCGCGCGAGAAGCCGAGGCCACCACGGCCGAAGAGGGCAGATCATTCACAGGAGGGAGCACCGGCGGCTGAACATCCACAACAGCCTGAAGAGAGGGAGCGCCGGCCTCATCAGCAGTTGGAACCCTCTTCGTCTTCTTTGGGGCCTGTGGTTTCAGACCCGCCTCGGCCAGAGTCTTCTGACCTTCATCAGCCCCTCTTTTCTTCTTGGGAGCAGCCTTCTTGACGGCCTCACCCCCTCCTTGGGAACTACCGGCAGCGGCCTTCGCTTTCTCGGCGGCCCGGGCGGCCTTGAGCTCCGCATCGGCCTTCTTGGCAGCTCGAGCCATGAAAGATACGCGGTCCATGACAAAACCTGCACAGAACAAAGCAAACATCAGTAAGGCAAATAACTAAACACATTACGAAGGAAAAGCAGACGAAGGACAACCTTCGGCTTCGGCAGGGACGCCGAGTGAGGGACCGTCGGCTTGCTCATAAGACCCCTCGATCCTTGGCCAGAGGTCATCGTCCACATCACCGGGACAATAATATCGCACGAAGCCGAGGGCAGCCATCCTGTACTCCGTAACGTACGTCTTGATGCTCCTCGGCCCCCCCTTAATAAAGGCCTCTATCTGATTGCTTATTTCAGCACTCCAAGGGGGGGTATGCAACTCAAAGAGGCCGCTGTGACCATTGGAAGGAAAGAAGCCACCCTGACCCAAGGTGACGAACACGAACTTGGCCTTCCAGCCATGAATGGACGTAGGGAGATCCGTAAACGACCTCCTCCCGCTAATCTGCTGCAGGGTTGCGTAGCCGGCACAATTTTGATGGCTCCCTCGGCCTATCCGGAACAAATTCATGAACAGGGCAGTCGTCGGCGAAATCTCCAACTCTTTGCACCGGATTAAGAAGCCGATGATGAGCGAAAAGCTGTTGGGAGTCAATAGGGCCGGAGGGAGCTCCACCATCTCAAGATACTCCTTGATGAAGGGATGAAGAGGGAACCTCAGACCCTTGGCAAAACTCATCGGGTAGACACCAAAATAGCCCAAAGGCGGGTTTAGAACATGATCCGACGGCAAGGGGGCTCTGACACGGCCGTAGGGACCAACGTACAGCTGCGCAACATGATAATCGCCGAGGGTCCCCTCCGGCCGAATAATGTACAAGTTGCTGAGATCTAACTGTGAAAACCCCTGCGGTACTCCCTTACGCTGCTTCCGCCGGTACGGTTTTTTCGTCTTAGGAGCCGAGGGGCCTTCCCCCGCTACTGACGATATCGGCGGAGGACAAGGAATGTGGGCAGACGAGGATGCCTCATCCCCCCTCAGAGGTGAGCTAGATGTCGCCTCGTCCTCACCAGAATTATGTGCTCCCGCGTCGGCACTCATTCTCTCCTCATCTACGGAGGTGCGGTAGTCGGCGGTATTATCCATCTCGATCTCGAAGGCTTCAATCAGTCGAAGATCAACTCCAGGGGACGTATCGTCCTCGTCGAAGGGCCAATCCGACTCGTCCAAAGAAGCTGTCAAATCAATAGGGGAGGGAACGCTACGGCCGTTAGAGAACGGCATAACACCTACACCTATTCCTAAGGGCGGTTTTTCGGATCAAAGTGGTTTCCCTACAAACACTAGATCTAACCCCCTAGGAAGCAAAGTATAAGGAAAAAATGAAGAACAAAGAAGAATCTAACCTTTGAAGATTTGAAGATCTGGAAAAGATTGATGAAGACTTGAAGGAACACTCCGAAGGTTTCTCTCTCTAGAAAGTTTGACAGCACTTCGTTGCTCAGCAAGGTTGCAAATGAGGTATCGCCTCAGGGGTTAGGGGTATTTATAGGCACCCCTCCAACGGTCACTACACGTGGCAATCCCCAATTGGGCACCTCAACGGCACCTCTCCCAAAGCCAATCAGCGCTTGCCTTTTCACATTCCACTTTGAGACCACCGCTACGGCCCAACAAGCTCTGAGGCTAGGGTAAGCACCGGCCTACTCACTCAAAAAACAAGGAGAAACCCGCTACGGCCAAATTTTACCAAAGGCATGAACGCATCAGCGAAACGAGCTACGGCCCCAAAAGCAACCCCAAGAACCACAAGTACCGCTACGTCCACTCACGCGCACATCGTCCGATGATGACCCTGGTATTGCGGCCTTCGTCCAAGGGTTCTCCCACAGGGTTACCTTGGACAGGTTCGCCTAAGGGCTGGACTCACGACTAGCGCAAAGGTATCGTATCGGCTTGGGTACACCATGACTCCCTTGTGCCTCAAGTACTCTTCGGCCAAAGGAGTGGGGGACTGGGGGACTGTATCGGCTACAGAAAAAGGAGAACAGCATAAATGGGAACGCGACGGCCTCAACACACGGAGTATTCGCTACAGAAAACATTCACCTCAATAGCATTGCAGATCGCATCGGCTAAAGAGCCCAAGAAATTAAAAACCCAAAAACAAAGTCCAGCCTACGACGGCCACATGCGCTGGAGGGACTGTATCGGCCACAAGAAGAGAGAGCGCAACGGCCTTAATATAAAAGGATGTGCTACGCCCACCAATACAAGAGGATCGCAACGGCTGCGTACACTGAGAAGACCACATCGTCTCACCATAACAAAAACTCACAAGACAAAACGCTTCGGCTGCATAACAAAACAAAGGTACGCATCGCATCGTCTACATAAACAGAATCAACCACCTTCATCTCATGAAAATAGGTCTCCGCTACGACCAAAAGGATAAATGAGAGCTCTTCGGCCCCAACAAGATAACCACGAAAGCACACCAACTCATCCGCCAAGGATTCGCCGCATCATCCACAAAAAGAAAGCGCATCACCTCGTCTTCAAAGGCACTCCCACGGAGTGTGCATCGGCCCGCATCAAGGCCATGAGCTCCCAAGCACGCTTCGTCCACATCAAATGAGGAAACCGCTTCATCCAAAATCAGAGCAATACCTCTTCGGCCACCAAGCACCTCGAGCTCACACAACGGTCAGCCAGACAGGAACAAGTACTCCCTTTCGCTTCGGCTTCGCCTCAGCTCAGAGAGTGGGGGACTCCTGATAGAGTATATGGGCCTGGACCCCATGGCCCACATACTCAAGTCAACGATGACCAGAACAACACCCACGTGGCCCCCTTCGGCCAGTGGGTCCGCATCGGCCAGAAACCAAACCGGCTCAGGAAGCACGCATGGACTTCCAGGACCGCATCGGCCATGGGACCGCATCGGCCAAAAGTGTACCGCATCGGCCAGGCCTCGTCCTAGCAGAATGCATCTCTCTACTTTATTTGCTAAGTATTGTACTCGGCCCATTAGTGGCCCTATTTCGCCCAAAGAGGGCATGATTATTGTAATGGGCCTCCTAAGCCCATGGCTAGGAGCCCAAATCCATATTTTTACCTATAAATAGACCCCTTGGGGCTAGTTATAGGGGGTTGAGAAATATAATTACTCACTTTCTCTCTCTAGCTCTCACTTCTCTCTAGAATTAATACTCTATCAGAAGGGTTTCAAATCTGTTCGTTTTAGGTAGTGGTGGACCCGGTCCGATCCAACCGGCCAGACCCGCTAATGTGCGGGAACGGCCCAGGAAACCGGTTCCGAGCCGCCCAACTCAAGAGGGTGGGGTGGGGGGCGGTTCCGGTGCAAGAAAAAGGTGAACTGACCCGGCCGGTTCGGACCTCTTTTTTTTTGGGTTTGGGCTAAGCTGGGTGACTCCAAGGGGTTTGGGGGGTGGGTGTGACACCCTAAAAAAAAAAAAATTAAGCACAAATAAAATAATAAAAATAATAATAAATAAATGAAATAAAAAAATAGATAAATTCTTTGTTCAGATAAATTTTAACATATGAAAATGTGACATTTATGTAAAAGCTAATAATAATGCAATGTTGTTGACTTTATCATTATATTACTACGTATTGATCAAGTCCAGGCCCATACATCAAAAGGCAAACATATGTGTACTACATTCAACGTATCACCGCTACTACATCGTATATTATGCGCAAGTTTAAAAAGGAAAACGGCTGAAAACCCTAGACCTAGAACCTTCCTGAGCATGCATATATACTACGAGTCTACAATCGGCTGAGTCACAGCATCCAAAACCTGCGAGCAAAAAGAAAACCAGAAAGAATTATGGACCGTCTTCTGCTATATATCTTCGCTGAGGGAGAAAACCAGAACGAGAGAGAAGGGAACAGAAGGAACCGCCGCTTGGGTCGTGTCGTTCTCTTTATCGCCACCAGTCGACCATTGCACCAGACTGCTCTCTTTTGACATCGGGAAGGCCAGGGACCCAGGACCAAAGAATGACCTGCTCTTTGTTTCACCGCGCAGTTGAGAAAGAAAAGCGTGTTTCCCCAGTACTGCTGAAACTAACGACCATGATAGTGAACGAACTTGCTGCGTCACCAAAGTTTAAGCTTCGCCTGCAGAACACCCATCACTGGGACTGCAGCATCGCCGGAGTTCTGCGGCCGGACTGAAGAAGTCGCTGGACGAACCACCACCACCAGAAAGGAGAGCTGCCACTGTCAGTCCACCTCCGGAGAATCCTCACCGTATCCGCCGCCAAGTCGTCGGCCGGCATCAACCTTTGAAGAAGACGACTCGAATGCATTTTGTATACTCCGTATTACGTAAGTCTCTTTTGTTTTAGTTCATATTGAACCGATTAAAATAAGTAAAATAAACTAAATTATAATTAGACTATTGTAGTGATTAATCACCATTACGTAGTGGGGGAATTTATTAATAAAAGATGGAAGAAATTAATTAAGTTGATAGGATATTGATCTTTGACTTTTAATAGAAGGTGATTTGATTGAGGAGCAAAGTAGAAGAGTTCATAATTGGAGTTTGAGGTAAGTTCTACATCAACCAAAATTATACTTTTCCTCGTAAATATATATATGATTATTTATTTGAAATTATTTGAGTACTTTGTGAGATTTCTAGCATTTACATTTATACTTCGTATTTGAGAATTTAGAATTATTTATGGATTGTTATTGAGGATTATATTTGAGATTTGAGTATTGAATATTGTGTGATATTTTTGAGTATTTGAAGTTATGTATTAGTCATTATTGGGATTGAGATTTGAGCTATTTATGGAGTATTCTATATTTTAATCATGTTGGGGATTTTCGAGTTTAAAGGATCGATTAACCCTTATTTTGGAAATTTATGTCTATGTATAATATGTGATGCATTGTTGAATGTTGAATATATAACTTTGGGGAAATTACGTGAGTAGTAATCCCTGAATTTTTGGAAAATAATAAAGATAAAATGAACCTTTCAATGTAAGGGCATCACGGGAGAAATCCGGGATGTCGGTGTCCTCCACGACCTTGACTGTGGAGAGTGATTAGGACTGCTATTACTTGTTGGGATTTGGTGTCCACGACCTTGACTGTGGAGATTGGTGGTTGTTTATTGTATTTAAAATTCGGGCAAAAGACCCTATTATTCAGTAGTAGCAGTAACCTAGTCACTTCTATAGGGTAATCCCTTTTTGGTGGAGTAGGGGGACGTTGACGTCCGAACTACTTGGACTTCTCACTACTCGGAGGGCTTGGAATCCCTTTCAGGGGGTGTGCACACTTAAGGTAGAAGTTCAGTTTCCTCAGGTTAGAAGTGGTACCGGCAAAAGTCCCGGGGTGGCCGTACATAACAACGGATCATCGGGCTCAATAAAATGTTGAGCACCGCCCTTCAAATGTATTAGGAGTACAAATTATATTTGGATTGATGTTTAGAGATTTTGAGGAGAATTATATTTGAATAGAATGGATTTGAGTTGTTGGATTGAATTATCAAATTATTGTGGAATTTCAAGTACAAATACTTTTGGATTTATTTTGGTTTGATTATGCTAATATTGATTATGAGTGTTTGGAATTATTTTGAGAATTGTTTTGGTACTTTATGTACATTTGGTATGTTGTAATTATTGTGGTTTGGAAATAATTATTTATATTTGAAGTACTATTATTTTACTCGTGAATTGTGTTATGAGAAGATTTTACAAATTGTTTTAAAAAGACTTTTCCTGCCAAATGTTTTTTTCAAAAATATTAAATTATATTTTTTTTATGGGGTTAGGTGGAACTTACTTAGCATTGTTGCTAATTTTTGTTTTCTTTTATTTTTCTTTCTGTACATGATTTTGTACAGGTACTGCTTTGCTGATGATGTTGATTTCGAGAGAGCTTCCGCTAGAGAAAATGTAATTAGTAGATAACATCGTAGTTTGATTTAATTTTCAAGTCACTTATTGAGTTTAATTGTCTGTGGTGATTAGCCTGTGCACTCGGTTAGGTTAGAGCCGAGTGTGGCGGTAACGCCCCTATTTCCCTTTTGATTTCCGCTGCAAAACTTTGATGTTTTCAGATAAAGTTGATAT